TCACACCACAGATTTGAAAGACGCCAGTGCTTTCTCGTACTGGTGCCTTAGTTTGCTAGCGCTTGCCATGTTAAAGTGTGGAATGATGGTCAAGCGCCGCCCATCTATAGATCTATCTATCTATCTATCTATCTATCTATCTATCTATCTATCTATCTATCTATCTATCTATCTATCTATCTATCTATCTATCTATCTATCTATCTATCTATCTATCTATCTGTCTATCTGTCTGTCTGTCTGTCTGTCTGTCTGTCTGTCTGTCTATCTATCTATCTATCCATTCATTCTACCTTCTGTTTATCCATTGACCCATCAATCTGTCCATCTATCAATCAATCCATCTATCTGTCCGTTCATCCATCTATCTATTTGTCTGTTCATTCATCCATCTTTCCATCCATCCATCCATCCATCCATCCATCCATCCATCCATCCATCCATCCATCCATTCATTCATCTTTACTAGAATGGCAGTGCTCAAAAGATTGAATGAATACCCTTATTAAAATGCAGTAACAACAATAATAATAAACATATTATAAATATAATACAAATGTAGATGTAAATATATAGATATAATATACATAAAAATATATTTTATGAAAAAAAAAAAATATATATATTTCATTTATTTATTTAATACATACATTTGAAGTCAGAATTTTTATCTCCTAAATGATGTTTAACAGAGCAAGGAAATTTTCACAGTATGTCTGATAATATTTTTTCCTCTGGAGGAAGTTTTATTTGTTTTATTTCTGCTAAAAATAAAAGCAGTTTTTAATTTTTTAAACCCCATTTTAAGGTCATAATTATTTTAGCCTTTAAGCTATTTTCCAACTGTCTACAGAACAAACCATTGTTATACAGTAACTTGCCTAATTACCCTAACCTGACTAGTTAACCCAATTAAACTAGTTAAGACTTTAAATGTCACTTTAAGCTGTATAGAAGTGTCTTGAAACATATCTAGTCAAATATTATTTACTGTCATCATGGCAAAGATAAAAGAAATCAGTTATTAGAAATTAACTATTAAAACTATTATATTCAGAAATTGTGGGGAAAAAAATAAACGGGGGGGGCTAATAATTCTGTCTTCAACTGTATATTTAATATATATAATGTGCTCAAAACATGCCTGGAACTACTTTAGCTGAAAATAACTGCACACACCTTCATTTTCATCAGCCAATCAGAATCGAGCATACAGCAGCATAGTGTAATCATAAATAAACACCCCCCGCGGCTGCTAAAAATGCATTCTCACATGATCTGGAGATTGAAGCTCTTCTGTTCGCACATGCTTGGTTTTCTAATGGCCAGCGCATACTATTCCTGAAGAGCCCTATTCAGAGTCATCAGATATCTCTGCTAGTCTCCAATCAGACACATGCTGCTTTTAAATATACACACAGACGGGTTGTGTTACGCTGAAGAGTTACTGAGTGATCCTCAGATTATTCGGAGATCCACTTAATGATCACACACTCACTCATGGTCTGGCTTTCTGAAAATACAAGCTTGGCCTTGGTTCAAGCAGTTGTCTTCTTTAAAATAGTGCATTCTACAGCAGGTGTTTGTGTATGTGTGTGTGTTTGAAATGACTGTGAGATATTTCTCATGAGCATCAGAATGTGCTTGGAAATGCATTTTACAACTACACAAAAAAAAATCCAACTAACATGTTTTTAACTTGGTTTAAAATTGTAAGTTAGGTGGACATGTGCTTTCTTCACTTATAAGAACTGTTTAACTGTATATAAGACTTGATTAGAGGAGATTAACATTTAGATTTTTTCATTTGAGTGTTCACAGCAGTGAGAGCGGAAAAAGAGAGTGAAAGAATGATGTGGGAAATGAAAAGTGAAAGACGTTTGCTCATGAACGACCATTGGCATATCGGGTTGCATGGCATGCTGGGAACTGATGACCTGCAGAGCTTCACTCTGTCAAAACTCTTACTTTAGGAAGATTTTTTTTTGTCCACTAGTTTCAGACATAGTTTTGAAAAGATTTATTTGAATTGTTCTGCATTTTACCAGTTTTCAAGAAATATATAGTTCATTTTCATGTAGTAATTAAAACGCATTTAAGATGAAAACAACATTTCTAAAAGTTTAACCGAAATTCAAATAAGATTGGAAAATACTAAAATAAAAAATTGTTAATATATTCATTATATATATGTATTGTAGTTAATAATAGTTTGAATTATTTTTATTATATGAATTGATTATTATTTATTAATAACTTTATATGATATATACCTCTAATTATATATTATATATACCTCTTTCCTTGTAAATGAGCATTTTTATCAGGCTCCTCTGATTAGGTTTAGAAGTTTTATTTTATATGTAATGATAAGTTGTTTAGCTATAAAAAATATCAATATCAAAATATCGCTATATATATATAAATACTGTACTATTTGAAGATGCATTAATTTAATACATTTATTCAATCAAAATAATTAATATTAAATTGTTTATAAATAATTCAATTAAAATGTTCTCTGATATCTACACAGTAGCTGTGTGGCTTCTGTCAGTTCAAAATTTTCTCCAGAAATGGTTTTAAATGCTCTTTAATTAACCCAGTTTATCAGAATGTCTTTATTGACCATATTTGGAAGGTTTGTGAATATTAATAAGCTCCACTATAATGCTTTCACAGCTCAGTACTTGCTCTCTCTTTTTTACACACACTCAGCATGATTTAATCATAAATGCAAAATATGGTTATTAGTACATAAAATACCTTTTTTTCAAATCTATTACTTTAGGAAATTCTTTGTTTTTTAACAAGGTACATTTACATTAAAACAGAAATTAATTAAATCTTAACAATCTGTTGTCATTTCTAATATTTAGGATTTAATGTAAGTAGAACAATGTTTTATACATTATATTTATCTATTTAAAAATAGCTTACATTAGCAAATAAAACACAAGGTTGGCCTACTGGGCAAAAAGGAGATGCCTCTCAAACAATTTTAGAAGCTGTCATTTATTCATTCTCACCATACTTTAAGGTCCTGGTCGGTCTCTTGTTTATCCTCATAGCATCCACGTGGGAGAAAAGAACAGCATCTTAACTCTGTCTTTTGTAAAACAGTGTTGGCGTTTATTATAGTAAATCAGATTCATTCAAAGCAGCGTCACTGCGCAAAAATACATTATGAATGCATGCTACACTTCCGACTGTACATTGTTTTCTTTTTCTTATAATGTAGAGAGTTTTTGGGTAAAGGACGTTTTCATTTGCCATTCACTGACAGTCGGACAGGCTCATGCAGTTCTTTAAAAAGTAAAATCGAAAGCGAAATAAAACAGTCTTCTCATAAAAGTCGGCTGATCAGCACGCTGCTACATTAAAAACATATGTTTCGATTCGCGTCTTCTGATTGGTTCTTGGGATATAGCGGCTTTTACTGTCAAAGGCAGGTGGCATTTAGAGGCTTTTGCCAACAAACTATATATATTTATAGTGTTTTGGGACATATATGAAATATATATATAACATAATAGTTTTAATAACTAATTTCTAATAACTGAATTATTTAATCTTTGTCATGATGACAGTAAATAATATTCATTCATTCATTTTCTTGTTGGCTTAGTCCCTTTATTAATCTAGGGTCACGACAGCTGAATGAACCGCCAACTTATCCAGCACATTTTTACACAGCGGATGCCCTTCCAGCCGCAACCCATTTCTGGGAAACATTCAAACACACACACACACACTCATACACTACGGACAATTTAGCCTACCCAGTTCACCTGTACCGCATGTCTTTGGACTGTGGGGGAAATGGGAGCACCCGGAGGAAACCCACGCGAACGCAGGGAGAACTTGCTAACTCCACACAGAAACGCCAACTGAGCCGAGGCTCGAACCAGTGACCCAGCAACCTTCTTGCTGTGAGGCGACAGCACTATCTACTGCGCCACTGCCAGTAAATAATATTTGACTAGATATTTTTCAAGACACTCCTATACAGCTGAAAGTGACACTTAAAGGCTTAACTAGGTTAATTAGGGTAACTAGGCAGATTAGGGTAATTAGGCAAGTTATTGGATAACAATGGTTTGTTCTGTAGACTATCGGAAAAAAAAATATAGCTTAAAGTGGCTAATAATATTGATCTTAAAATGGTTCTTAAAAAAATTGATAACTGCTTTTATTCTAGCCGAAATGAAACAAACAAGACTTTCTTCAGAAGTCAATTTTGAGAAAGATTTGATTAAAAGAGATCTGTGAGTGGCATACTCATTTATTCTGAGCTCTGTACATTTATAGCATTTGTTTTATTTAAAAAAATTTTAAAATCAAGGAATAATTCAAAATTGCCTTAAACTTTTGTACACCGTAAAAACAGTTGAGTTGACTTTACTTTAAAAAAGTGAGTAAACCCATTGCCTTGATATTAAGTAGATAAACTACAGTATGTGCATATAAGTTAAGTGACCTTTACAGTTTTAAGTTACAACGAATCAACTTGCAATGGATTTACTATCATAATAATCACTTTTTACAGTGTGAAAATGCACAACATTTGGTGAGTTTTAACTCTGACACGATGTATAAGGTGTCAGATACACTGATACAGAGTCTGTCTGTATTGTTCTGGAAGACACATGATATATGGGACTTTACTGACAAATGAAGACAGGTAGAAATTAGCGTTTCTGAGGCATCTGCGAGTGTCGGACCAGCCGCTTTGATCCTGTCTGTCTAATGTCATCTGCAGGTCATGACCTTGGGTCACCGTGTCTAGTAGTGGCATTCCTCATTTGACAAATGTCTGTGTGTTTACTGACATGTGTTCCGTCAGGAGCAGCTTATTAGTGCTAAGCCAAGTGTCGCTAGTATAGACCCTCAACTAGTGTTCTCAAAAACATCAATATTTCAATAGATATCAATACTACACTTTTTAAAGGTATCATATAGTGCTATGATTTGAAAACTTAAATTGTTCTTGTATATATACATAGCAACTATGTATATACGCACATTTATTACCCCAGAATATCAGAATCTTTATTGACCCTATTTGGAAGGATAGTGAATATTAATGACTATGACGCTCTCGCAGCTCATTACCTTCTTTTTCTTTCTTTCTCTCTCTCTTGTCAGAAATATCAATATTTCGATATATATCGATACGGTACTATTTGAAGATGCATTAATTTTAAAAAAGTTAAAATGTTCTCTGATATCTACACAGTAGCTGTGTGGCTTCTGTCAGTTCAAAATTTTCTCCAGAAATGGTTTTAAATGCTCTTTAATTAACCCAGTTTATCAGAATGTCTTTATTGACCATATTTGGAAGGGTTGTGAATATTATTCAGCACCACTATAATGCTTTTACAGCCCAGTACTTGCTCTCTCTAAAAAGGAAAACACAGATGTTCAGTATAGTATACCGACATGTATTTGCTTTCATTCTATAACACTGGACTCATAATACTTCAGCAGTGTAACACACAAATCTGTTAAGACTTAGCAATTATCCTAGCAAATACATAACAAAATTTTATCATTGTGGTATTTAGTTCTAATGTGCAAAAAGCACTCAAAAAGTGCAGTCAAAATTATTATTCAGGAGCAGCCACTGTCGCTAACCCTATAGCCCCTATTCACAAGACAGTGAGGACACTTTTCAACTAGTGTTGTCAAAAACATTGATATTTCGAAACATATCGATAATAAGATATTTTAAGATGCCATATAGCGCATTGATTCGATTAGTTCAATTGTTCTCTGAAATCTACATAGTAGGCACAGGGCTTAGGTCAGTTCAAAGTTTCTCAAGGAATGTTTTTATGTGCTTATGTATTACCACAGAATATCTGAATGTCTTTATTGACCATATTTGGAAGGGTATTGAATATTAGTGAGCTCAGCCCTTGTTTTGTCTCTTTCTTTCTCTTTCACAGTCACACACACGCACACACAAAGCATGGTGTACTCAGAAGTGCAAAATACGGTAAACGGGAAACACAATTCATATAAAGGAGCAGCTTATTAGTGCTAAGTCAAGTGTTGCTAATATTATAAACCCTTTCACAAGATGATAAGGACAAGTTTAAACTAGTGTTGTCAAAAATATTGATATTTTGACATACATCCATACTGTACTGTTTAAAGGTTCCAAATAGCGCATTGATTTGAAATTGTTAATATATACATAGTGACTATGGGGCTTAGGTTAGTTTAAAATATCTTCAGAAATGGTTTTATATGCACATTTATTAGACCATAATATCAGAATGTCTTTATTGACCATATTTAGAAGGGTCGTGAATCTTAATGAGCTCCACTATAATGCTCTCACACCTCAGTACTTGCTCTCTCTCTCTCTCTCTCTCTCTCTCTCAAACACACACAGCATGATGTACTCAGAAGTGCAAAATATGGTAAACAGAAATGCAAGTGTTTAGTATAGTATATCGACATTTATTTGCATTAATTGTATAACACTGGACTCATAATACTCTAACAGTGTAACACACAAATCTGTTAAAACTTACCAACTATCCTAGCAAATTCATAGCAACATGTTATCATTGTGGTGTTTAGTTCTGCATGTGCAAACAGCACCAAAAGTGCAGTCAAAATTTTATTCAGGAGCAGCTTTTTAGTGCTAAGCCACTGTCGCTAACCCTATAGCACCTTTTCACAAGACAGTGAGGACACTTTTCAACTAGTGTTGTCAAAAACATTGATATTTTGATACATAACGATAATAAACTATTTGAATAGATCATATAGCGCATTGCTCTAGAATCAGAAGGTCTATATTGACCCTATTTGGAAGGGTGGTGAATATAATGAGCTCCTCTCTGATGCAGCTCTCTATGTTTGCTTTCAGCCAGGAAAATGTGGCTATGCATGTCATTCCTAATTTTGCCAATTAAATCTCTACAGCTAACAAAGGTAATCTCTGTCACAGTTATTCGAGCATTAGCTAACAAGACAATAATGTCAAAAATGGTCACAAACCATGTTGAATTAGGTACTATTGTGCTAAACATTAGTGTAATGCAGTATCATCACAGTCATCGATCAGGTCAGCACACACACCTAGAGGTAAACAGGGAAACACACATGTTCAGTGTATTGGTATGTACTTGCATTGTTTATTCAACACTAGACTCATAATACTCTTACAGTGTAACATACTTAGCAACGACACAGCAACATATTATAATTGTGGCGTTGAGTTCTGCATGTGCACACAGCACCCAAAAAGTGCAGTCAAAATTCTTCTTCTTTTTCTTTCATAGGCGCTTCAGGAGATGTGGATTTGGATGAATGTGTATCAGATCTTTTGCTTTTTGGCTCTTTATTTCGCATTGATAATGAGTGCAGGATATGATATCATGCAGGCCTGAAGGACAGTTTGAAATGAAATCAAGCTTAATTTGATCAAGTTGAGCTTCGCTTATCTCAGATCATCAGTTCAACTCTGTCCTTCTTCTCTTCTGCTTTTTCGTAAGGTTGTTCACGGCGAGCGGCTCACTCTGGAGACCCAGCTGGAGTCCATGCGGCCTGTGGCGTCAACCTGATCAGCACACACAAAACACACACACATACTTGTATATATGGTTTACGAGGACTCTCCTTAAGTGTATTGTATTTTATCATTTAAAAATTGCTTACAAAGTGTCCTAACTACATGCGATGCAACAAAATTCCAGCGACAAGCCAAACTACCAAACACGTCACGACAGACAAATTCAAATACAGAGCCATTCAGAATCCCAGAGTAGAGCACTGCACTTCCAGCCAAATGGTAGGGTTATAATCGAATGAATGCATATTAAGTTAGGAATAAAGAACATTCAGGAGGTTGATATAGCAGAATAAAGCTTGACAGGTTTTTAAGAAGATTGAAGGGCTTTCTTCTGCAAAAACAACCATCCCTAATGTATTTATTTCACGCTTATTAAATGGCTACTTGCAACAAATTTAGACACAAAACATTGTTCTCAGCTGCGATAGTTAATCGGTAATATTCTTTAATTAAATGCAAATTAAAAGAGCTGAAATGCTAACTTGGCCATTATTCAGTCACAAGTCGATGTCAAACAGTAAAAAACGCAAGGCTATCAGAAATAAAACCAGCTAAATGGAGCATGCACTAACCTACATATTATTCGTTTACAAGATGGCACGTAACAGTTAAAAATGCAAAGCTATCAGAAATTAAACCAGCTCAATGGAGCATACACTAACCTACATATTATTCCTTTACAAAACGGCACCTAACAATCAAAAATGCAAAGCTATCAGAGATGAAGCCAGTTAAATGGAGCATACACTAACCTAAATATTATTTGTTTACAAGAAGCCGCCTTACAGACAAAAATGCAAAGCTATCAAAAATTAAACCAGCTAAATGGAGCATACACTAACCTACATATTATTTGTTTACAAGAAGCCGCCTTACAGACAAAAATGCAAAGCTATCAAAAATTAAACCAGCTAAATGGAGCATACACTAACCTACATATTATTTGTTTACAAGAAGCCGCCTAACAGACAAAAATGCAAAGCTATCAAAAATTAAACCAGCTAAATGGAGCATACACTAACCTACATATTATTTGTTTACAAGATGGCACCTAACAGTTAAAAATGCAAACCTATCAGAAATTAAACCAGCTCAATGGAGCATACACTAACCTACATATTATTCCTTTACAAAACGACACCTAACAGTCAAAAATGCAAAGCTATCAAAGATGAAGCCAGTTAAATGGAGCATACACTAACCTACATATTATTCGTTTACAAGAAGCCACCCTACAGTCAAAAATGCAAATCTATCAGAAATGAAACAAGCTAAATGGAGCATACACTAACCTACATATTATTCATTTACAAGATGGCACCTAACAGTCAAAAATTCAAAGCTATCAGAAACAAAATCAGCTAAATGGAGCATACACTAACCTACATATTATTAATTTACAAGAGGGCACCTAACAGTCAAAAATGCAAAGCTATCAAAGATGAAGCCAGTTAAATGGAGCATACACTAACCTACATATTATTCGTTTACAAGAAGCCACCCTACAGTCAAAAATGCAAATCTATCAGAAATGAAACAAGCTAAATGGAGCATACACTAACCTACATATTATTCATTTACAAGATGGCACCTAACAGTCAAAAATTCAAAGCTATCAGAAACAAAATCAGCTAAATGGAGCATACACTAACCTACATATTATTAATTTACAAGAGGGCACCTAACAGTCAAAAACCACAGCATGACAGAAAAGCAGATACATATGAATGTGGATGCAAGTATATGGATTTGATTGAATTCACTGATAGTCAAGGTGATTCAAAGTTCTCGAATGAGCCTGCGTTATTTAGTGGTTGTTATCTTGGTACAGTATTCCAGACAGCCTTGTAACTAACACATTTATTATTAATAAAACTTCATGCTGCTTGAGTCACAGTTAAACTCACATTAGTAACATTTGACACTGAATAAAGCACATAATCAGTACCTGAGGTGATTTTTGTCATAGTAGTTTATGCTGTTGTTCAGCTGCGGCATTGCAGAAATAGAAATTTCACATGGCGCTCTCGTGGATAATTTGAACAAAAACTACTTTCGATGCCTCATTCACAATAGCAGTGACTTTGTAGCTGCCTGTCGCTCTGGGTAGCGACTTGCTGCAAACGCAGGTCTGTGTAGGTATATACAGCAAGAAAGTCGCGCTTCATTTGCATAAAGTTAAAGGATTCTCAATTTTGTCGCGTTGCTCGACTCGCCAACGGTTGCTGACACTCGCGTAGACAGAGTTCGCCGGAAGTAGCTCGATCTTCATTGAAATAAATGTTCGCTTGTCGCTTTTCCGCTGTGAGCCGCTCATAGTGTGAATGAGGCTTTACATGGAAAAGAAAGCTTGTATTGTGTGTCGCAGCATTGCGTCCAAGTGTAGTTGGGACACAGTGTAACCCAAGTCTATAACCCAACCCCCACAGGAAACACGTGGTAATTTTGTATGCTAAAAAAGCCTGTTAAGTATAAATGTTAAGCGTTTTGAATTACAACACGATGTAATTCACGATGAGGTTTATGAGGACACAAGGCATGTCCTCATAAACCACCTTAATGTAAGTAAGCACTGTCTATTTATATAGTGCATTTATCGTGTATGGCCATACACCCAAAGCACTTCACAATTATGAGGGGGTCTCTCCACACCACTTCCAGTATGCAGCATCCACTTGGATGATGCGACGGCAATGACAGGACAACGGCACCAGTGCGCTCACCACACATAGTAGTTTATGCTGTTGTTCTGCTGCGGCATTGCAGAAATAGAATTGCAATTGAAATAGAATGGCATTGCAGGCTTCTCTCTAATCAAACACAGAGAGTCTCAAAAATCCTTTAGTAAGAGGAACTACTTTTTTTTGCCATTTATTCAGATCTGCAGCTGACATCAGCACAGCAGAAACCGTTGCTCACAAATACATCACTTTGAAGCTAGTATTTGAATGATTCTCTAGGGTAATGTCTAAAGTGATGACAAAACAGGTAAATTTTGCTCACATTTTAAGATTATAAGTCTGAACCGCTTGAAATGCCATCAGTCTACAGAGATTCCACAGGATTTCTCTGTTGCAATCGGGAGATCCAAATAATTAACCTCGAAGACGCCAAATTTTAAAAATTTTGTAAAAATTTTGTAAAAGCCGATGGAGGAAATTTGACCAGGACACCCGGGTTACACCTCTACTCTTTACGTAAAGAAGTGCCATGAGATTTTTAATGACCACAGAGAGTCAGGACCTCAGTTTAACGTCTGAAAGACTGACTGTATAGTGTCTCCTTCACTATACTGGGTCATTAGGACTCACACAGACCACAGGTTGAGCGCCCCCTGCTGGCCTCACTATCATCACTTCCAACAGCAACCTAGTTTCCCCATGTGGTCTCCCATCCAGGTACTGACCAGGCTCAGCCCTGCTTAGCTTCAGTGAGTGACCGGTCTTGGGCTGCAGGGTGATAAGGTTGTGGCATATTATTGTAAAACAACTAGCTCAAACCCATGTTGTAATACAATTAACGTGTCCTCGTAAACCACATAAACAATTACACACACACACACACACTTACATCAGGCTTCTCTCTCATACTGTGAGCTTGAACTCAGTCTCATTACAGGACTCTTACTTTCAGTGACCAAACACTCGGACGTCACAAGCACTGTGTCTGAAGCACAGGAAGAGGATTGACCTGCACTGGAGAATTCCGGGATGTTTGTTATGTCGAAAAACTGTTTCTGTTCTGTCCATTTGAGTGTGTATTTTTGTATGCTCTTGCTGTTTCTTACAGCAGAATAGTGTGAACACAGCTGTCCATCATGGCGACCAATACACAGGAAAAGCTCCAGTGTTCAGCTTCGTTCCAACAAATGGGCAATCACTTTATAGTTTCTGCATTTGATTCTCTTATGTTTCGTTCTTTTACGTACATTTAAATACGTTCCTATTTTTAAGGTTGATCCTAATCCGCCAAGAATAAGCTTACACGAGTGAATCTCATTATTAACATTTATTTGAAGTCATATTTCCCCTTGATGGTGGTAGTTATAATCATAGTAATAAGCTATAGCCAGGGCCAGAGGGAATCTGCGGACGTTTTTTGCTATTTCTGCTGAGAATTTTGGTAAAAATCTGCAGATTTCTGCGGAATTATTTTGGGAGTATCCAGCGGAGTATCATAACTAAAACCTTAATATATTAAATAAAAAGTAATAAACTACTGAATATAAACTGAATAAATTAAGATTTACACATTTACTCAAGTAAATAAACATAATTAATAATGGGCTATAAATCTCCAGAAATCTGCGGAATTCTGCGGAAAATCTGCGGAATTCTGCACGCGCAGATTCCGTGTGGGCCTTGCTATAGCGTTAGTAGATATATGAGCAATACAACACAAGTAGCAATGCGATATGGCTGTACATCAGCACTGGTGGGAGGCGTGCATTGGCTCTAGGCCACAGGTCGAGTGCCTTAGTGCCCTACCAGTGGCTGTATACTATTGCTACTTGTGATATTGCGTTTATACAACAGTTCAACGGCATAATCGTGTGTATAAAAAAGAAAATCAAACACAGAGTCTCAAAAATCCTTTAGTAAGAGGAACTACTTTTTTTGCCATTCATTCAGATCTGCGGCTGACATCAGAACAGCAGAAACCGTTGCTCACAAACACATCACTTTGAAACTAGTATTTGAATGATTCTCTAGGGTAATGTCTAAAGTGATGACAAAACAGGTAATTTTTGCTCACACTTTAAGATTATAAGTCTGAACAGCATGAAATGCCATCAGTCTACAGAGATTCCGCAGGATTTCTCTGTTGCAATCGGGAGATCCAAATAATTAACCTCGAAAACGCCAAAGCACAGCAAACACTACCAGACTACTATCGATACAGCACTACAACCTACAAAAGAGAGAGATCGACTTACAATGTCACTTACCTGTTCTGTAATGATTTGTTCAGCTGTAGTTTGAGTTTTTCTCCCCCTAAGGACTTATTATGCAGTCTTTGTCACCATCTTGTGAAGGAAACATCAACCGTCTTTGCTCAGTACGACAGGCGAATGCACTGAATCTCTGAAATTATATTTAAAATAGGCACTATTCTTATAAATTAAATGCATAGTTGCAATCTAAACAACTGCATTCTAGCCTAAATAAGCCTCAAAAGTGCATTATGTTGTCCAACAGCTGCAATATTTGTCAAACTAATGAGTTTATTGATCTGCTGTCACTTTATGTGGGTAGAGTAATACACAAGGGTGAAGAGGCTGTACGTGTGCTGACATTGCAGAATATCACACAGCTATTAGCCGATCAAATTCTAAAACCAAACAGAACTGTTGTATGAAATATAATATACACTGTAAAACAAATCCATAATTTTACGGTTTATTTCCGGCAGGTGGGGTGTCAAAAAAAAAAACGTAAAATAATGGCCGTAAAATCACAGAAATTTACTGTAAAATAACAGATATTAAATTACAGAAATTTAGCAGAAATTTAAATTTAAGGACATTTCTGTAATTTAATATTTGATATTTTACGGTATATTTCTTTAATTTAACGGCTGTTATTTTACGTTGTTTTTTTGGCACCCCAGCTGCCGGAAATAAACCGTAAAATTCAACATTTTTTAACAGTGTATAAACAATGGTTAAGATTTTAAGTAGATCAAAACCTTTCATCATGTTGTCCTAAAATTCTTGAACTTTTTTCGATCCACTTCAAATTTTCGCTACTGTATGCACATAAGTAAGTGTTTTTGGAAATGGAAAAAATGTTTAACTGCCATGAAAATAATAACAAATTCATAAGTTGCCAGTTAAATTTTCTTTATCAATTTTCATCTTTCATAACATGGTGAAATATGACGCTCGACAGCTTTTGTGCGATTCTCAGTATTTACTTAGTGTGACAGAAAAAAAAAATGTAGTCGAATGTACAATAATCGTTACTTTCTGCTGGGACAAAGATTGTATCCTAAAGACTCTCGAAGCATAAATGTGTTTCTGCATGATGGCGAACGTTTATAGAAGCATTTATTTTTACACGACGGCATGTTGTATGTGCAGTTTGACCGTTTCAGACTGAAATATTTAGGCGTACCTGCTGAATGTCATGATAACCTCGAAGCAATGAGGACGATCCAGTGATTGTGCTTGTAATGTATTACCAAAACCACGCATCAATACACTACCTGACGAAAGTCTTGTCGCCTGTCCAAATTTTAGCAACAACAAATAACTTGACTTCTAGATGATCACTTGACATCAAAAGTGGCTTATATGAAAGGCAAACCAAGATTCTTTGGTTTCATCTTCAATGCCTGGCTTCTCCATCTTACCCCAGACATGCTCAATAATGTTCATGTCTGGTGACAGGGCTGGCCAATCCTGGAGCCCCCTTCTTTGCTTTCAGGAACTTTGATGTGGAGGCTGAAGTATGAAAAGGAGCGCTATCCCGCTGGAGAACTTGCCCTCTCCTGTGGTTGTAATGGGCAGCACAAATGTCTTGATACCTCAG